AAACCTTGCGTAGTCTATGACCCCGACTATGATTCGCACACCATTGGTGTTTGCAAGTGAGTATCAAGCCGCGTTGCACGCGTAGCGAAGCAGGAGTCATCACTGGATCACTGGATAACGACGGTGTCTGAGTCGCCCAGGTCTGCCTCTTGCGACCCAAATTGGTCGATTCAGTACTGGTAGTTGTATTATCGTCGGATGTCGTCTCGTGGTCGCGACAGAGTGGCTTTTTCGAAATGATTTCTGAAAAGACACAACGAGCTGCGCAACGCGACCCTTCCACGCATTTGTGCTGGATACAAAACCTTTACAGAGACATCGAAGAGCTCTACCGGATCGTACATGAGGCTAGATCTGGCTCCCGAACCAATGGTCTACGGTCCAGAATTGTTGGGAGATGCTTGTGATTGCTTACCCCGTACGAGATGAAAGTTTGTTCTTCGCTTCTGGTGGCTCAATCACCGGTCATGAAGCCCTGCGACCGAATTCGCGCGAAAAGTCTTCTCCACGAGGCGAGTGGACCAATTCGAACCCGCGACTCTTCCATGTGCCCTTGCCGTCAGGTATTCGAACAAAGTCCTTAGCTTCGAAAGCCAACATGCAATTCACTTTACTTCCCAAGGTTGTACATCCCCAACCCGAAAAGAGATTGACTAGAGGGGTATGCAAAGTACGAATTGTCGTCAGCGTACAATTGTAGCGTAGAAGGATGTGATTTGGCTGGCGAAAATGCGCAGCGCGTCGAAGTGGGTATAGAGAGTTCCAACCAGCGAAGGGAGAGAGGCATTGGGGCGAGCCGTAGCAGAGTCTGGTCGTCGCCGTTTCTAGTGGTGTTGCCTTGCCAGTTAGCCACACAAGCCACCGAGGCGACCCCAGAAAACCGCCTCGTCCGTCATTGGGTTTGAAGTCACCTACTGACACATGTCGAACATGAACACCAGACATCACGCTTGCACGAACGGTATCATTCCATCCGGGTTTGACAACCCACGGAGACGAAGTGTGCTCTTGATGCCCTCCAACTTCTCGTCGACGCCACAAACGGTGTACTTGCGTAGGTATGAAGCAACGCAAACTTGAAATTTGCTCGTCCTGTGACCAACACGCTCCAGTCGTGTTGGACTAGGGATTACATACTCGTGTTGAAAGACAAGCGCTGCCATGATATCGCATTGACACACTTATCCGCTGAATTTCGACTAGTCGCTCGTTGCGTTACACATATTACATTTAAACTCCACGTGGATGAACGTGGCACAGGCGTTTAACCGCAGAACTCTTGCCAAGAGACCGCACCTCAATACCGCACCTCCATACGAGTAGTTTCCTACGCCAAGGCCCGTCCCGTTTTGACCAGGTTTTTTGTTGTGCAGTTTTAAACATTCGTTTCGAATTCAAATCCCGTTGTGCTTCGACAATTCTCATTTGTTTTGTGGTTTTGAGCGTTTGTTCTGGATTCAGACATGAGGTGAACGTTGACTAATGCATAGCATCACGGTCGGACAGAGCCTGCTCGGCGGACTTCGTGTGCCCTTGATTGTCGGACTGGTCTCGCTGATCCATCTAGGCGATCTCGTAGGCGACGGTCAATGATATCCACGACGACAATGGTGTCGCACAGCCTCGGACCCTAGTGTCGTGAGAGAGACAGCGGCGACGGACTCCAAATTTTTGAAAGATTGGTTACGTTTCCACGGTGGAATGGCGCGGGTAGAGGCGAATTGGGCTCATTGGTCAGATTTGAATTTGCCCGCGTTGGCACCTACCACTACCCCAAGTACACGACCACCACCACGTACTACAATCAACATGACCTCGACGACAGCACCCACCGTCTGCCTCTTCCAGGGCTGCGACGCGCTCGCGGACGGCGAGAGCCTAAAGTGCGCCTTTCACCGCAACCGTAAAAAGTGCTCGGTCGACTTTTGCTACAACCAAGTGTACGCGCGGGGCTTTTGCATCCGGCACGGCGGCAAGCTCCTCTGTTGCTACCCGCAGTGCAGCCGCAACGCGCGCAAAGACGGTGTCTGCACCCAGCACAGTCAACTTAAACCCCTTTGCTCCGTCGCCGGCTGCAGCAAACTCGCGCGACGGAATCAAAAGTGCGTCGGCCACGGCGGTGGGCACCCGTGCGTCGTCCCCGGCTGCCGCACCAACGCCCGGTTCCGCGGTCACTGCTGGCGCCATCGCCACTGCTTACCCAAGAGCGCGGCCAAGGTGTCCAACGCCCCTATGGATGTGGACAGCGACCGCTTCACGGGCTTCGTGGATGATCTTCTGCAAGACATTGACATTGAAGCGATTGAGCCCGGTAGCTATACTCCCTGGACGTGCTAGTTCAAAGACTATAAACATATATTAGTAAACCACGTAGTTCCAATGATGATGGCGCTGTCTCTCTATTGCACAAACCTGTACGTATGACTACCAAGGTGTGCGTAGTCATCGACAATTGGTCTGTATGTCTGACACGAGTGACCTGGATGCGATACTGCAAAAGGAGGCAAGGTCCCACGAAGCGCTTGAAATGCTTTTTAAGCAAAGCATTAGATAATGCTCCGGTCGGCGCACCCGTTTTTGTCACATGTCTCTTGATTTGTCACTGGAATCCAATAAACTTGGTGTTTGTATGCTCAGCGTATTTATATCGGCTGGGATTGCTTCGTCATCTTCCTTTCCCTTTCTATTCCGCGGAGCAGCATGCAGGTCTCGTACCCGATCCTGGGCCTCGGGCAAGCCAAGCAGCTCGTGGCTATCTGCGGCGGCGGCGGCTCGGCGCGCACTGGCGTCAAGAACACAGTCGACGTCTACGCTGCGCCGACCGCAACGACCGGCTACACGCTCCTCGGCAGCGCCGACACGGGCACCGAGCTTGCGTCCGGCCTCGCTATCTCGCCAGACTCGAGCCTCCTCGCCGTGAGCATCAACGCGTCGTGCTGGCTATACGCGATCGCGTATGAAGAGACCAAATCGGACTTTGCGCTCACACTCCTCGTTAAGTTCCGCACCGACTTTGCGGGCGCCGAGAGTGGCCAGTCCAGCGTCTGCTTTGTCGGCAACCACACGCTGCTCACGGGCGGCGAAGACAGCGTCATTCGCAGCTGGTCGATCGCGACCAATGTCACCACCAAAGGTTGGGCGACAGCGCCCGCGCTGGACGGCGCGCCCGACATGACGCCTGCCCTCGGCGACTCGGCAATTGGTGACACCTCGTACGTGCAGCTTGTCGGCGAGTTCAAGGCCCACACGAAGCGCATCAAGCAGATCCACGTCGATGCGTTCAGCCGCCAGCTCGTTGTCTCGAGCGACGAAGCTGCGTCCTGCCACCTCTGGTGGCTCCACGAAGGCGCGGCCATCACGTGCTCGCTCTCGCAAGCCGACGCCCTCGCTGCGTGCTTTGCAGCCTACCCCAAATCGGTTCCGCCGCCGCCGAAGGGCGCCAAGCAAGCCCCCACGGTCTTCAAGCACCAGTTCCGCTGTGTCCGCTTCGCGCCCAACGGGCAGTTCCTCATGACCGTGCTGAGCCCGCCCCGCGGCGACGCTTTTCTCCTCAAGTGGGTGCCGGTGACCACGTCGCAGGTCGACGCGGCGTCATGGCAGTGGCAGATCGCTGCGATTGCGGTCGCCGGGAACGAGCCCGTGGGCAGCTGCTGCATCAGCGTCGATGGCGAGCTTGTCGCGACGGCCACTGCGTCCGGCGAAGTGCAAACCTTCTCGACGGCCAATTTGGAAAAGGTGCGCCGCGAGCAACTTTCAGAAGAGCACACGTTTGCCGTCACGGGCATGGCCTTCGTGCCCCAAGGCGACGACCGCTACCGTCTCTGCACCGCGGGCGCTGACAAGCGACTCTTGGTGCACGCCGTCTCGTCCGAGCCAGGTAGGCTTTTCGCTCCTTTTACCCGAATTGGCTAAGGGTGCGTGTGACTAGTGGCCAAGGGTTTCTCGCTGCGGTCTTTCCTTGGCCGTCTCGTGCGCTTTGTCGTTGCACTCGGCTTTGGCACGCTCGCTGGCGCGCTCGCCGGCAGCATCGCGCTTGTCTATTTGCACGCAACATACCCCGACGACGTGCTGGTGGCGCACCCGTTCACGGGCGTCCTCGACATGCTCGCGTACGAGTTCCAGACGGCAGACGCCTCGGCGACGCTGATTGCCCT